ACTCATCTTATTGATTTACATTCTTTTTCATTCAGGGAAAAGAGTGTACAGGACCACCTGCGCAATGTCTACGCAACAGTTGCGGCTGGCGTTGGCGCCGCTGCCATTGGCGCAGGGATTCATTTGTTCACAAATATCTTAAGGTATGATTTTACGTTAATTTTCCACCGAGGTGCAGTTGTTGCACAATTGAACGAATTTTCATTCGGTTTTTTACAAGCCGCTTCGTTAGTTCTTCTACGAATTTTCTCTATAGAGCGAATTTCCTGATGGCATTTGTATCGATGGGACTGATGTTCGCTTTGATCTCTACCCCGCATACTCGAGAGAACGAAAAGAAGAGACTTTCTTATTTCTTCATCTTCTGTGGACTTTCAGGTGAGTAATGAAGTGTAATTTTTTTTTTTTGCAAAAGATTTGCCAGTTTCTGATAGAAGTTGGCAATTGCCTCTCAGTTATATAGTTTACCGAGCACCATTTGGCACTGTGCACATGTAATTTTTGTACCTGGACTTGTAATATCGTAGAGCCGACCCGACTAGTACATTTAACGCATTTTGCCAAATTTCAATCCAGTTTCTTTTTGATTATGATGTTTAATCACACCATGTATATCAAAGACCAGTGATAGTTGAATTTAAGCACCCAGAAGTTTGAGCTATTTCTCTAATAATAAAATTGATCTTCTAAATGTTCTCAGAAATCAGGATTTTGATGACGTTTGTGTAATCATCCTATGGGTAGCTTAATTATCAATTTCGTCGCTAGTGCTTGGAGTTAAAGCGAAAGTAGGTGAATGAGAATTGAATATAATTTCAGGTCTGAGCATTGGTCCCCTCCTCGAACGTGTGATTGAGATTGATCCATCGGTTGTGCTGACCGCTCTACTGGCCACTACAACTGTATTCGGATGCTTCTCACTTGTTGCTCTCTACGCTCCTTCGACAAAATACATCCACATGGGAGGTTAGTTAATCTGCAACAATCTTCTGAGTAGGGATAAAGTTTAGACATATCCCTTTATAGTTGTTTGTCTAGTTTTTCCTTATTTTTTTACTTATACTTATAGCGGTTTTCAACTTATCACTTGCTAGTATCACTTTGAAAATCACTGGAATTACATTCAGGGACTT